TACCAGCAATACATTTTGGAAGAAAAAATATTTCCAAAAATAGATTTTTGAAGAAAAAAATATTACCGCCAATACATTTTTGAAGAAAAAATATTATCAACAATAAAAATTTTGTTGGCATTAAATAACCTATTGAGGTTGATATGCCGTTAAAAAAATAAAAATAAAAACAGCCGTTTAAGTAAAAACTGTTTTTTTTTTTTTAACAGAAAGATTTATTTTAAATAAGGAGCTACCGGATACAAATATTTTTAATTAAACAAAAATTTAAATAAATTAATAAAATAAAAGGATACATCGGTTTATAATTTTTTTAGGATAGATAATTATTATCCCCCGTTTTTTTTTGTTTTTTTTTTTTGGTGCATCCGTTTCCGAAAAAATATCCGACAAAGATTAAAAAAAAATTAATTCAGAAAATTAAAAAAAAATCAGATGTCAATAACGTAAGCATAGTTTCAAGCTTGACGCTTATAAATAACAACTAGGTCCAATAATTCTGTAAAAATTCAGAGATCAGTTTTTCAAAGTATCGATATTATGAACACGATCACTCTTCTAAATCGGTAAAAAAAATCAATACTTTTCGATTCTGACAAACATTGTGTGTTAAGGAAAGTCTAATGAACGCTAATCTTTTTTTCACCCTAAGCAAAACGGGAGTGCCATTAGTACACAAAGGGCTACAAAGATTGTAAATAAGGGAAAAGACAGTGTATAAAGTTTGGGTGTTGAGGAAAGAATAAAAAAAAGAATGGAGATGGATAAAAAGAATAAAGGAGATCAAGGCAACAGAAGATGTCGATTGACATTACAGGGAAGCAAGTGAGAGGAAGGAAGTTCCACTGTCGGGAAGTGCAAGAGAAGAAGGTGTTGGAGCAGAAGAGGCGGTTACATTTAACTATTTCGACAGTAAAAGGGTGCGACTGAGATACGAACCCAGTATCCCGCTTAAATTCATGCAGTCGGAGCACTAATGAAAATAACTCGTCAGAGCAGTTGCCATGAAAATATTTATAGAAAAGACAGAGGGTTGCCATATTATGTCGGTGAGAAAGTGATTGGAGTCGAGAACCCAAGTCAGGGCCGATAACATTGCATATCTGTCATTGGATTTTGTCGAGAACTTCGATATGAAAAGCAGAGTCACCAGCCACATATGGCAACACAGTATTCCATACAAAATACACACAAAAATAACCTTTACACTATTTTTTTATGAATAAACCAGTGTATTTAAGCAGTACAATTGTATCTTACTTAATATATGATATTCACAAACTGAAATTCTCAGTTTTGTTCAAATTATCGAGAAAAGAAATCTAATAAAAAATTAAAAGAAAATGAAGGAAGAAAATATACAAGGGAGGTTACTCTGCGCAATCAAAAAAGGGAGTTATTTACCTTTAAATTTTTATTTCGGAAATTACATCGCGAGACGCATTCGATTTTATAATCTGACAAAAATTATAGTTAAGATAGGCAAATCTTTCTTTGTTCTCTTTTTCCTGTGTTTGCTTTTAAATGAAGCACGCCATAAACTGTGAATTCAATATTAATTTGATTCTAATTTTATTTTGCCAACAGAAAGAGAGATCGACGAGCCAAATTCAAATTCCAGACTAGTTATAGTCCCGTTGACTTTCGTACAAATGTACAAAAGTATGAATAAATATTCAGACCCTTAACCCTACCACCACTTGTTAAATCACATTTGATTATCTAGGTTTGGCACCGAGTCTTGAGTATGGAATATTCTGAATTTCAATCTATGCAGAAGGAAACGGGAAACTGTCGGTGTTAGCTCCTCCTTAATTCCCTAATTGTTCACTAGGGGACGCTCTCCCTACACTATAAAAACTGGGCGACTTCTTGCCTCGTTCTCTTTCTACTTTGCATTTCAGCAGACACATTTAAAAATGTGATCTCTCGTAGAGATCTGCGTTTTCGTCCACTTGTGGAGAAACGCCACAAAACACACATACACCTACGTACGAACATTCACCAAAATACAAACTCTTTACGTTCACACACAAACACAAATGTTGATGCCTTTGTCACTTGTAAATCTTGTTGTTTAATACATATATTTGTTGACATATATATATATATATATATATATATATATATATATATATATATATATATATATATATATATATCAGTCTTGTTTGTTTTCTTTACATCTTCGGTTGGAATCATCTTGAGTCGGCCCTTCTTCTAGCAGGAATAAACAGCACATGTTCCTAATTCAACAACACCCAAACCTCTACAAAACGACTCTAGTGTTGCGGATTTGCTCTTAGCTGAACTAAAAGCGGCGGCAAACAAAATTTACCCGTGGGTCGTCATTCTAAATAAAGGTGAAAGGAAACTGAATAAATTTCAGTAAGGCGATATTTTCATGGCTAATTTCTATGATATTTTAAACTTAAAATTAACTAATGTTTGTTTCAAATCAGATTAAAATTCATTTTCAATGATGTAATGGTTAGGGAATATTGTTAAGTAAAACTATTTTTATTAATCATAAATCTAAAAGCTTATTACAGTGTGAGGTATCCTAGTATTTTAAAAAGAATTTTGAATTGTTTTTGTAGATGCATAACATGCCAAATTTTGTAGATACAGTTGTTCATACACATTATCAGAAAATAAGAGTGATAAATATAGTAAATTTAAAGCCAAATTATCTAAAATACAATAAAACATTAGATTAGAGAATATTTTCTCAAATTTTTAAGATTATTGAGTACTTAAAGATTATGTATAAAAGATGATCACATTATATTCAATTATGTTTTTTACAAGAAAGTCCCCCCATAAAACAACATTAGATTTCAAAAATCATTCCAATAAATTTAAATTCAGTTTGAAATGCAGCAAAGAATTTTACTTGTTGGAAATATTAAATTTAATCTATTAAAACTAAAATAAAACCTTGAAAAAAGATTTTTAATTTTTAAAATACATTTTAAACCTTAGGTTTTTCTTTTTTACTTTTATATATATATATATATATATATATATATATATATATATATATATATATATATATATATAAAGAAAGAAAGAAAGAAAGAAAGAAAGAAAAGAACAATGAGATATATAATCCGGTGTTCTTATAGATATTTTTTATTTTTACAAAAATATGGGTTTTTTTCGTGCACAGTTCTAACCATGTTTCAAAATTGGAAGCTAAAAGCTTCCGAAATTTACAAGCGAATTTTAGACTCAAAATTCGCTTGAGGATGAAATGAACATTTTAATTTAATTATTAAATTCTAACTGATTTTTGAAACATGGTTATAACTGTGTAGCGAAAAACCATAAATCATTAATTTGTAATATATATATATATATGTTTTGTGTGTGTGTGTGTGTGTGTGTGTGTGTGTGTGTGTGTGTGTGTGATGGGCAAGGGAGAGTTTGTAACTTTATTTATGCATTTTTTTTTAGTGTCCTTACAGTTTTTCGTTTTAAAAAAGTGGATAGGAATATATATATATATATAACATTTCATTCTAATTAAAATTATATGTTAAAGGACTATATGAATAAAAACAAAATTTAGGAAGTGTTTCCTCCCTATGAATTTTATCAAAAGGCAAATATAAGGATTTTGCAGAAAGTTTCAAACAAAAGTTGTTAAGAAACCATTCATCATCTGAAATGTCTCAAATTATGGAAGATGCTAAATGACATTTTAATAAACGACTCATTTCAAATCTATCTATCTATCTACTTTTCAGGATCTATCGGTCTATCTATCGCTCTATCTGTCTATATATCTATCTACTTGTGATTCTTTTTTATCGATCTACTTTTTCAATCTATATATTTTCATACTTTTTAAAATTAAATTTTCATTTATATATGTCTATCTATCATTTCTTTCTATCTACTTTTCATTTCTATATATATAAGTTTCAATTTCATATATATATATATATATATATATATATATATATATGTGGAGTTAAGCTTCAAGATAGGACATCTAACGTAGACCTGTTTAATAGGTGTAATATTGGAGGAATCGAGACTTTTATCATACAGTCTCAGTTACTGTTATGTCTTGAGAATGTCTGATGACAGGATATCCAAGATCCTAATGTACAGCCAGTTAGATCAGGGCTACAGGAATGTAGGACGCCCATCGCTAAGATACAAAGACAAGCTGAAAAGCAACTTCAGCAGTCAATATACCACATAACACCCTTGAGCGCTTAGCCTTCGAGCGGGTAGAATGGAGATCAACGTGTTTTAGTGCAATTTTCAATCTGCTTCTCTGAATCATCTTCAAGAAGCGAGAGCAAGATCTAAAAGGTCAACCAATCTAACAGTGATCTCATCTCACAATCCTCACACTTTCTCCATATGCGGCCTCCATTGTAAATCACTAGCGGGTCTTAAATGCCACTTAAGATTAGCGCATAAACTTTCATAACTGAATCAATAAGCTGGCAGATCCTCATACGTCGAAACCGACGGGAGAGTCCATTATTATTATTATTATTATTATTATTATTATTATTATTATATTATTATATATCGCTCTATCTATTTTTCATTTATATCTGTCTATCTATTGTTCACATCTACTGTTCATTTCTATCTATCTATCTATCTATCTATCTATCTATCTATCTATTATATATATATATATATATATATATATATATATATGTATGTATGTAATGTTCATTTTATCTATCTACTTTTCACTTCTATCTGTCTGTCTATCTTTCTATGTATCTATCTATCTGCCTTTCATTTCTATCTATCTATCATCTATCTATCTAAGCATGTGAGTGAATCTCTTTTAATTGGAAGAATATTCTATTAATCACCTCCTACAATCTTCTTACTTGCTTAATGGCTATTCACAGTAAATTATGAATTATTTAAATGTGAATTTGTCATAAATTATAACAAAACATATTTCCGCCCACCTCCCACGTCTTAAAAAAAAGTTCAGAATTTTTGTTTGTCGTCACTCACGTTTCTTTACCGGCGTCTGTTTTACTCAGTCGGAATTTTTCCAAGTCTATCCACAAATACCAATTCTTTTCACTGGATGTTTCGTTAAGAAATGATTGAAACTCCCCAATATTTGCGACGGTGGAGAAACATCCAGAATTTTGGTCACCAGAATCGAAATATTCATTTTCCAAGTGTTGTTCTTTTTCATCGTCCACACTTTGAAAGAAAAAAAAAGGTGGAGATTTTAAAACAGTAGAAATTAAACCGTGTCAATGTACGTTCAAATTTTAACCAGTGGTTTTATCGCATATATATTTGTCTGCAATGGCTTTGTCGCATCAATTTGGCAAGAGTAAGTTATTAGAGAAAAATATATCCACCCACCAAAAAGAGTTACATTGAAGTTAGATTTGGAAAGGTCAAGATTGTTATGATTGGGAAAACAAGTGAATGAACAGAATTTAAAAGGAACCAGAAACCCAATCCTAAACAGCAAACAAAGGCTAAACCTCTACTCCTGTTCAAAAGACCAGGTAGGAATATATATATATGTGTGTGTGTGTGTGTGTGTGTGTAACAGCAAAATTGCTCAATCGTTAGATTAAAATTTGAACCGTTGTATATTAGAAATGATGAAAGGTATCTTCGAGGTTTTTATAACACTATTGAACTCTACTTTAAACAATAATAATATATTTAGCTCTAAATTGAAATGATGAGCGCTCTTGCTGTTATGACACCCTTATCCAGTTTTTCTCACTAGTGTTCCCTCTTTTTTAAACTTATTCACTGTTCCCTTAATGATTCTTGAATGGATTTTGAAGATGGAAGCCAGAGTATGAATGTTAGTACCATTACTGAAGGCCTGGATGATCTTTTTCCTCTCACCATTGCTCAGTTTGGATTATATAGTGGGGCTGACACAAAACGATTTTAACCTGTTCGCTTTCTAGCTGAATAACTCGAAGGGTTTTTCAGTGATTCTTACGACAAATGATGTCAGATGTCTAAATGTCGTATGTAAAAACCCGGAGAAAAAGAAAATTCAATTAGTTTAGTTGCTTTTTAGATGTTAAACATTTTGTCGGATGGATAATTATCGCGTGCTGTTACACGATTTGGACATTGTTGGTGTTATACCTGATATATATATATATATATATATATATATATATATATATATATATATATATATATATATATATATATATATATATATATATATATATTACAATGAATCATTCATACAAAAAGTAAATTAGTAAAGTTGATGATATAAAATGGCGAAATCCCTTCGCTAACTAAATATTAAAGATGCATTAACCCACTAAGCACTCGATGAAAGTTATGATACTTGTAATATATATATATATATATATATATATATATATATATATATATATATATATATATATATATATATATCCTTGACTATATATATATATATATATATATATATATATATATATGATTAAATTACAAAATATATATATATAAATTAAATTATATAGATATATAAATTATAAATTATATATATATATATATATATATATATATATATATATATAATTAAATTAAAAAATATATATAAATTAAATTAAAAAACTGTTAAATTACAAAAACTTACACTACTCATCTATTTTAATTTTATTTTTCGTTTCATTTCATTTTTTGGAAGTGCTATCTGATGTTCCGGCGTCCTTTTAAAAGGACTCTGGTGAAATAAATTATTATAATGATACCTTAAAGTGATCTGTTTTTCTTTTAAATATTAGCTCTGGATTTACATTGAGCTTTCAGGATTTCATCCCCCTTGGGATTACCCATACGGATTACTAAGTTCTTCATAGCTTAAATATATATATATATATATATATACTATTGCATTATATATATATAATTTTATATCATTAACTTTACTAATTTCCTTTTTATATGAATGATTCATTGTAATATAAATTGAACTGCACCACATATTTGATATATATATATATATATATATATATATATATATATATATATATATTGGCAGCATGTTTTCATTGAGACATGTTTTGTTGAATAATTTGGACAAATTTCCTTTTCTAGATATACTGATAAACACTAAGTTCACTCTCTCCTCACATAAAAAGTCTACCAACATAAATTCCTGTAGGCTTAATTATAAGTGTGAATGTCCAAATTACTATAAAATAGCAATCATAAAATAACTAATAAAAATTAATTAATCCACAAAACTGATTTTCTACAGTGAACTAAAAAATATAAAACAAACTCTTATTAATAATTACTTCCCTAAATCCATTGTTGATGAACAAATAAGCTGTTCCATCAGAGATTTTTATACTAAACAAATAGAATATAAAACTTTTTCAACTCACCATAAATATATCAATCTTTTATATTGTAACCAAATGCATTCTAATTATAAAAAAAGATGAAAATATCCTACAAAATTTAATAAATACTAATATATCCCCCACAGTTCCTAGTACAAAAAAATAAAATTAATTATATACTACACTAAATGTTATGGGTCCTTACCTATAACTGCAGAACGAACTCTTCCTAATACTATGTATAATACGCCTCTCAAGAAAGAGGGACGAATAGAGTCGAACTGTCTGCCTCCGCCGAAGGGCAGAGTCTCGTTCGGGGAGGTTGACCAACCCAATCTGTTTTTACACTTTCTACGGGCATTTTTTGGCCGAGCCTACGGGCTCAAAATCCCACGTAAAACTCCGCCTTGTGACACATCTTTCCATCGGGGTGGGGGGACATGTAGATATCGAATCAAGTAGAGCCGATAGTAGTTCACTCCAAACCAGACTGAAAGTCATACTAACACCTTCAACATCTTGTATTATTTTTTCGTGTAATATACCTTCGTTATTTCTACACTTGTGTTCGTGTTGTTCTTCCTTGGTCCTAACCTGGACCATAACACTAAATATACTATATCCAGTACAATCATTCGTAATGACTTCCCCGCCTACTAACGTGTTGCAGAAAACCAACATCGTTTATAAATTTAAATGTCTCCAACGGTAAAAATAATATTTATGTTGGACACACTACAACAACTTTTTCTCGGCGGCTAAGTTTCCGTTTGAATAATATCTCCAACATTTCTAAACATTTGCAACAACATACCCGTCCACATTTGCAATTCAGAAAAATTCTTATCGAAAATACTTCTATACTTTCTCTTAAACGGTGTCAACGATCACGCACTGACTCAGCCTTCTTCGCTCCCCAAGTAAGAAATTTACGTTTCAGATGAACACAACAGTTTTGTCTTCGAAAATAATGAACACTACGATATTTGTCTTGTAATAAACAATACCCTGATGATGACATTGTGCTATGTTGAAAGTACTCGGATATGTATCAACACAGTGATTTTCTCTTCTCCTTCAATAAGGACACCAAAAAGCTTATGCGTGAATATGAAAGGATCCAATTGAAAATAAGTAGACAGAACATGTCTAAACTATTCAACAAGACATGACTCTCTCTCTCTCTCTCTCTCTCTCTCCATATATATATATATATATATATATATATATATATGTATATATATATATATATATATACATATATATATATATGCGCGGTACTTATTGGAAAGCACTCAATATCAGTAATGGGGCTAACATATTTAGTTGGATTGATGTGAGTTTGTGCCCCTGGGTTTCACGCTCTCTGCGATCGTCAGACAAACTCTTTTGTCTGACGATCTCAAAGAGCGTGAAATCCAGGATCACAAACTCACAATCAACTATAACTATATATATATATATATATATATATATATATATATATATATATATATATGCAAAGAAGTAATAGATTTCTTATTTATTAATCGGACAGATGTTATTACGCAAACGTTATTTATTGTGAATACTCATATTATAGTAGACGCTCCGTTTATTTATCAAACATTTATCATTTTTTTTTAATCATGTTTCACCCCAAGCAAGGCAGTAAATCCACTAAGACACAAAGGTTTACAGGGTGTGGAAAAATTAGAAAACAGAAACATTACTAAGGGGCGAGAACAAAAGAAGAGGAATCAGGACGACAGTAGATAGCGATTGACATTGCATTTAAATTTTTGCCGATTAAAGTTGGCTGGAAAGCATGGAACCGGAAGTGTGTTCCACAAGCAAGAAGTGCGAGAGAAGAAACTGTTAGCACAGAACTTACGGTTACATATAGCCAAATCGACTGTATAGCGATGAGACCTGTCGCTAGTCTAGTACTGCGCTTAAATTCATAAAGTCTAGGAACCATTGTATAGATTACATCCGAACAATTACCATAAAAGGCAGAGGGAAGCTACTTTACGGCAGCGATAAAGTGATTGAAGCCGAGATGCCAGGTCAGGACAAATAACATTGCTGATTCTTCTTTGGATTTTATGAAGGATCTATAGATATACAGTAGGGGCCCCAGACGATATGTGGCAGCAATATTCTAGACATTGAAGAATGGTAGATTTATAAATATTTAGAATAGATTCAGAAGAGAAAAAATGTCTAGGACGACACAGTGAATCAACTTTCTTAGCAACAGACCTAGCAACGGGTTCAGTATCATTTTTCCATTTCATATCAGCCGAGAATGTAAACCCAAAAAGTGGGTCACCCTCGTGGAGGTTAGCATTAGTCATGCTGGTGGGAAGCATAGAGGGATCTTCCGGGTGATTGATAGACAGAAGTTTCATTTTGGATGTGTTAAAATTAATAAGCCATACCTTACCCCAGTTAGCAACAGACTGTAGGTCATTTTTCAGATCAGCTAGCAATTTTACCTCATTGAACTAATCAGACTTACGATAGAGGCTGCTTGTGTTATCAGCATAGATATCAAGTTAAGAAGTTGTGTAATCAAGAAGTTCTTTGATGGAAATTAAGAACAGAGTAGATTCAAGGATAGAGTCCTGGCAGACAGCTCTCTTTCGCTTCCAGTAACCCCTTGAATCTCAGTGGAATTATTGCCTTGCTTGGGGTGAAATGATTGAAAAAATAAAGAAAGAGTAAAGGGGAAAACCTCTACATACCTGAGGACTATAGACGAATCATTATTGGCAGGTTTTTCGTAACCAAAGAGATCTGTCAATACGATATGATCTACGGTTTTATCAACTGGCTGATCAAAGTGGATGAACTTTTTGAATAGTTCCATTGTGAGAGAAGTTGAATTCTTGCGATAAAAAGGAAAGAGATTATTGTAAATGTGAGACTCCTCCACTTCTTCTTCACTGACCCCTTCTACTTCAACAAGAGCGTTCTTCACGACTAGAGCTATCAGCATCTGAGACAATTCATGCAAGTTGTTCACATGCAAAGAGCTCCTGTTTCTCTTTGGGGGAAGTATCCGAACTGCCGGGACATCTGCTTGCTTAGAATACGGCCCCACATAAACTGGGGGACCGATTTCGGGTCTTAGGATGTCCATGTCAGCAAACAATATACAGGGAGGAGTCCCTGGAAGAGGTGAGATGTTCGGCGAGGAAAACATGGTCGTAGCCTCCGAATTAGGGCTTTCGGACACATCTGCAAGGTCACTATCAGATCCCCTTTTCTGGGAAAACATCCGTTCGTGGAAACTGTTTTGCCATGATTCAATGTCACTCAGGCTAGTGTCGCCAAACGAAATGTGTACATTTTCCATCATATTCTCTGAAGATTCATCCTCGGCTTCTTCTGGAATTGGACTGATTGCTACTTTAGGCGGTTCTTGCAATGTGGTTAAACTTAGATATAAATCAGGGACAGCCGTTTTATCATGTCTAATCAGCCTTACTTGTGACAGAATTTTGGCTAAACGATATTCTGCATATAATCGACTTTGAAGAAAAAGAGGGAGCCTTTCATTCTGCATCCATTGTAGTCCTTTTCTTTTGTTTAATATCTGAAAATGGATAGGTCGGCTGGTCATAAATACATATAAATTCAAATAAATTAAATAACATTTTAATAATACTTACACCTTACTAAATTATTAGACTGTGTAACAAAATTTTGACTATTTTTTGTCTTTGATTAGTAAGCAAAACATAGAAGCAATTACGAATTAACAATTCGTAATTGCTTCTATGTATAAAGCAAAGGAAATGTGACTATTATTCCATTTAAAACTGATTTTGTGATCTGAACATCGATGTTTTGAAAACTAACCTCTTTTCCATTACATTCCAAACAAATTCAGCGCTGAATTGCTGAAGGATAATTTTCTAGAACTTTAATGAAGTTTCTAAAAGTTTTTAAAAAATTCTAGAACGTTCTGGCAACGTAGATGACAGTTTAAATACAAGGAATGTAAGCTCAACGGTTCAGTTTCCTTCTAGCTGTCCAAGTACAGACAGTTTAAATACAAGGAATGTAAGCTCAACGGTTCAGTTTCCTTCTAGCTGTCCAAGTACAGACAGTTTAAATACAAGGAATGTAAGCTCAACGGTTCAGTTTCCTTCTAGCTGTCCAAGTACAGACAGTTTAAATACAAGGAATGTAAGTTCAACGGTTCAGTTTCCTTCTAGCTGTCCAAGTACAGACAGTTTAAATACAAGGAATGTAAGCTCAACGGTTCAGTTTCCTTCTAGCTGTCCAAGTACAGACAGTTTAAATACAAGGAATGTAAGCTCAACGGTTCAGTTTCCTTCTAGCTGTCCAAGTACAGACAGTTTAAATACAAGGAATGTAAGTTCAACGGTTCAGTTTCCTTCTAGCTGTCCAAGTACAGACAGTTTAAATACAAGGAATGTAAGCTCAACGGTTCAGTTTCCTTCTAGCTGTCCAAGTACAGACAGTTTAAATACAAGGAATAAGCTCAACGGTTCAGTTTTCCTTCTAGCTGTCCAAGTACAGACAGTTTAAATACAAGGAATGTAAGCTCAACGGTTCAGTTTCCTTCTAGCTGTCCAAGTACAGACAGTTTAAATACAAGGAATGTAAGTTCAACGGTTCAGTTTCCTTCTAGCTGTCCAAGTACAGACAGTTTAAATACAAGGAATGTAAGCTCAACGGTTCAGTTTCCTTCTAGCTGTCCAAGTACAGACAGTTTAAATACAAGGAATGTAAGCTCAACGGTTCAGTTTCCTTCTAGCTGTCCAAGTACAGACAGTTTAAATACAAGGAATGTAAGCTCAACGGTTCAGTTTCCTTCTAGCTGTCCAAGTACAGACAGTTTAAATACAAGGAATGTAAGTTCAACGGTTCAGTTTCCTTCTAGCTGTCCAAGTACAGACAGTTTAAATACAAGGAATGTAAGCTCAACGGTTCAGTTTCCTTCTAGCTGTCCAAGTACAGACAGTTTAAATACAAGGAATGTAAGCTCAACGGTTCAGTTTCCTTCTAGCTGTCCAAGTACAGACAGTTTAAATACAAGGAATGTAAGCTCAACAGTTCAGTTTCCTTCTAGCTGTCCAAGTACAGACAGTTTAAATACAAGGAATGTAAGTTCAACGGTTCAGTTTCCTTCTAGCTGTCCAAGTACAGACAGTTTAAATACAAGGAATGTAAGCTCAACGGTTCAGTTTCCTTCTAGCTGTCCAAGTACAGACAGTTTAAATACAAGGAATGTAAGCTCAACGGTTCCAGTTTCCTTCTAGCTGTCCAAGTACAGACAGTTTAAATACAAGGAATGTAAGCTCAACGGTTCAGTTTCCTTCTAGCTGTCCAAGTACAGACAGTTTAAATACAAGGAATGTAAGCTCAACGGTTCAGTTTCCTTCTAGCTGTCCAAGTACAGACAGTTTAAATACAAGGAATGTAAGCTCAACGGTTCAGTTTCCTTCTAGCTGTCCAAGTACAGACAGTTTAAATACAAGGAATGTAAGTTCAACGGTTCAGTTTTCCTTCTAGCTGTCCAAGTACAGACAGTTTAAATACAAGGAATGTAAGCTCAACGGTTCAGTTTCCTTCTAGCTGTCCAAGTACAGACAGTTTAAATACAAGGAATGTAAGCTCAACGGTTCAGTTTCCTTCTAGCTGTCCAAGTACAGACAGTTTAAATACAAGGAATGTAAGCTCAACGGTTCAGTTTCCTTCTAGCTGTCCAAGTACAGACAGTTTAAATACAAGGAATGTAAGTTCAACGGTTCAGTTTCCTTCTAGCTGTCCAAGTACAGACAGTTTAAATACAAGGAATGTAAGCTCAACGGTTCAGTTTCCTTCTAGCTGTCCAAGTACAGACAGTTTAAATACAAGGAATGTAAGCTCAACAGTTCAGTTTCCTTCTAGCTGTCCAAGTACAGACAGTTTAAATACAAGGAATGTAAGCTCAACGGTTCAGTTTCCTTCTAGCTGTCCAAGTACAGACAGTTTAAATACAAGGAATGTAAGTTCAACGGTTCAGTTTCCTTCTAGCTGTCCAAGTACAGACAGTTTAAATACAAGGAATGTAAGCTCAACGGTTCAGTTTCCTTCTAGCTGTCCAAGTACAGACAGTTTAAATACAAGGAATGTAAGCTCAACGGTTCCAGTTTCCTTCTAGCTGTCCAAGTACAGACAGTTTAAATACAAAGGAATGTAAGCTCAACGGTTCAGTTTCCTTCTAGCTGTCCAAGTACAGACAGTTTAAATACAAGGAATGTAAGCTCAACGGTTCAGTTTCCTTCTAGCTGTCCAAGTACAGACAGTTTAAATACAAGGAATGTAAGCTCAACAGTTCAGTTTCCTTCTAGCTGTCCAAGTACAGACAGTTTAAATACAAGGAATAAGCTCAACGGTCCAGTTTCCTTCTAGCTGTCCAAGTACAGACAGTTTAAATACAAGGAATGTAAGCTCAACGGTTCAGTTTCCTTCTAGCTGTCCAAGTACAGACAGTTTAAATACAAGGAATGTAAGCTCAACGGTTCAGTTTCCTTCTAGCTGTCCAAGTACAGACAGTTTAAATACAAGGAATGTAAGCTCAACAGTTCAGTTTCCTTCTAGCTGTCCAAGTACAGACAGTTTAAATACAAGGAATGTAAGCTCAACGGTTCAGTTTCCTTCTAGCTGTCCAAGTACAGACAGTTTAAATACAAGGAATGTAAGCTCAACGGTTCAGTTTCCTTCTAGCTGTCCAAGTACAGACAGTTTAAATACAAGTAATGTAAGCTCAACGGTTCAGTTTCCTTCTAGCTGTCCAAGTACAGACAGTTTTAAATACAAGGAATGTAAGCTCAACGGTTCAGTTTCCTTCTAGCTGTCCAAGTACAGACAGTTTAAATACAAGTAATGTAAGCTCAACGGTTCAGTTTCCTTCTAGCTGTCCAAGTACAGACAGTTTAAATACAAGGAATGTAAGCTCAACGGTTCAGTTTCCTTCTAGCTGTCCAAGTACAGACAGTTTAAATACAAGGAATGTAAGCTCAACGGTTCAGTTTCCTTCTAGCTGTCCAAGTACAGACAGTTTAAATACAAGGAATGTAAGCTCAACGGTTCAGTTTCCTTCTAGCTGTCCAAGTACAGACAGTTTAAATACAAGGAATGTAAGCTCAACGGTTCAGTTTCCTTCTAGCTGTCCAAGTACAGACAGTTTAAATACAAGGAATGTAAGCTCAACGGTTCAGTTTCCTTCTAGCTGTCCAAGTACAGACAGTTTAAATACAAGGAATGTAAGCTCAACGGTTCAGTTTCCTTCTAGCTGTCCAAGTACAGACAGTTTAAATACAAGGAATGTAAGCTCAACGGTTCAGTTTCCTTCTAGCTGTCCAAGTACAGACAGTTTAAATACAAGTAATGTAAGCTCAACGGTTCAGTTTCCTTCTAGCTGTCCAAGTACAGACAGTTTAAATACAAGGAATGTAAGCTCAACGGTTCAGTTTCCTTCTAGCTGTCCAAGTACAGACAGTTTAAATACAAGGAATGTAAGCTCAACGGTTCAGTTTCCTTCTAGCTGTCCAAGTACAGACATGCTGTCGTTGACATAATTTTTTGTGATCTCTCTTGTGTAATGCTAGAATAATAATAAATGCTATTTTTCAATCTTGTGCCGTTTTGTTCTTACTTTGTATTCAACGACAATCTTCACATTCGCTTGTTTTCCCAATGTGAAAAGGTAAACGTTTGAAATATCATTGTCTTGTTCACAAACGCAAAGTTTGAAGAAAATCTTAACCGTTTCTCATACTTTCTAGGCATAATAAAATAGGAAATAAGTGTTGCTACCCAAAGACAATACTTGTGTTGCACTGTGTTATTAATAGTTACATTTAAATAACAATTAACACCTCTTAGACGTTATATTATAATTAATTAGTAAATTAATCAGCACGTGTGTCACATCGTTTCATGACCTCAAAAAATTCCCTTTTGATTGCAAGGAAAGACGGAATGGAAAGTGTAGCTTAGATGTGGCACAAGGCCGAAAGTAAAGGGCACCCAGTGAGGATCGAACTCACTACTCAGTCGTAATTGTTCTAGCGAGACAAGCTTGCTAACCATTACACCACCTCGAGGTACCCAAAGTGATTTTCCAAGCGTAGCTTGGAAGTGGCACAAGGCCGAAAGTAAGGGGCACCCAGTGAGGATCGAACTCACTACTCAGTCGTAATTGTTCTAGAGACAAGCTTGCTAACCATTACACCACCTCGAGGTACCCAAAGTGATTTTCCAAGCGTAGCTTGGAGGTAAACCCGAAAGTAAGGGGCACCCAGTGAGGATCGAACTCACTACTCAGTCATAATTGTTCTAACGATACAAGCTCGCTAACCATTACACTACCTCGAGGTGCCCCCAGTGATTTTCCAAGCGTAGCTTAGATGTGGCACAAGGCCGAAAGTAAGGGGCACCCAGTGAGGAGTGAATTCACTACTCAGTCGTAACTGTTCTAGCGAGACAAGCTTGTAAACCATTACACCGCCTCGAGGTGCCCACAAATTATTTTCTAAGCGCAGCATA